TATTTTGCTGTAGTGTGTCAGTAGGAAATATCAAAATTAATGTTTGGAAATGTGTCCTACTGACACACTACAGCAAAATATAGAAATAACTGACTTTAAACCATTTTTTGCTGGTGAAAATACTAATGGCCTAAGACTTTGCACAGTAGTGTATATATTATAATTTCTTCTGATGCATTTTTGATAATATGATCACATTGGCTAATGGTTATGTACTTTCAGCTTTGCTTACTTTTATTGGTGGATTGGAGTGTATTTTTGTGTTTGTTCATAAGTTGGGAATTTGGAGAGCTTGTTCCTTATCTTCTAACCATACCTGCTTTTACAGTATCAGTTTGAGAGCAGTGTGAGAGGGAAAGTGTGTGTCCGGTTTCTGACAGTGACAGCGTGGTCAGCACCGCGTCTGTGAGCCGCAGATAAAGGCTTTATTGGAGTTGGCGTTAATGAACCGTTGGCACCAGCACACACACATATACCAACGATGGCACATAAAAACACAGACACAAAAAGCGGGCAGTTTTTACACGCTCTGGACCTGAGGGACACCTCGCAACCTACCTGTCCTACTTCGCTTACAGAAAAATCAATATATCCCCTCTCTATATCTCCTCTGCCATTTTATACAGCCTTCCTCTCTTTTGTTTGGGGGTTTAGGGGCCCTGTATCAGCACTGTGTGTTGAATACTAGAGTTGATCTCGCTGTAAGCCGCTGGCAATAGAGCAATTTCTGTTTTTTTTAGTGTATGACTTTGGGAGGGTTTGTTGCTGTGGTTTGTGTGTACAATAAGTGTGAACTATCAGCTTTCAGCATCATGAGAAGCAAGATTAGCTCACCGGTCTCTAGTGATAGAGAAAAATCTGGCAACCTTGGCGATGGAAGTGCCGTGCTGTAAAAATTTAGCTACTTAAACAGCAGTTTAAAAAAAAATGGAAATAAAGCACATTATGGGAGTATGTTTTACAATAAAATACAATTTCAGTTTTTCTACTTTAAAATTTCAAATTTAATTCAATGTGTTACTTGCTTTTTCTTTGTCTTGTGTGTGTGTGTGTGTGTGTGTGTGTTTTCTGAGTAAAAACTTTCAAAGTAAAATCTACAATAGATTTGTTTCGGTGTATATTATTTCACTGCATTATTTACAGTTACGAATTTAAATATGTTTTTATTTTTATATGTTGTACAAATGATAACATATAAAATATGTTTCTTTATATTGTGTCTGTATACCTTAATTCAGGCTAAATTGTACGGATGGGGAGTAGGGCCAAGCAATTATAAAGAAATAAAACCATCTCGAGATTAAAGTTGTTAAAGGGGACCTAACACACAATTTCACCCAATCTCATATTAATCTTGAGTACCTATAGAGTAGTACTGCATCCTTCATATCTCCAAAAAGTCTTTAGTTTTATCATATTTATAAAAGAAAGATACAGCTTTACGATTCTATCCGAAAACAGCCGAGCTCCTGGAGGCATGCCGTGGGTGGAGCTAAAGAGTGACGAGTACTTGAGCTCCGATTGGCAACAAAACACAGACATTTGATGCAGTTTCACTTACCGTCTGCATCATGACCGGGATCTTTTATAGCTGGGACCGCTCCATCTTTCAGTATCAAACGATGTTGCTAATCCAGCGTCGAACTGGGCCTTGTTTATAAAACGTTCGTCAACAAACACACTTGCGACGCTCCGTTGCTGCCCCGGAAAACAATCTGCATCCACTGTTTGCGTAACGATGAATTCTTCGGGAAGCTAAACAAGGTTACCTTTCCCTTACAACCAAAAACACACCTCTTTAGAGACATATGGATTTACTGTAGTAAGACTAAACCTACCCAATTAATGCATTAATATTAAACACTCGTTAGGCAGTTGATTTCCACTGCTTAACGAGAAGAGAAGACAAAAGTAAGAAAAGCGAGTTCGGCAAAAGACGGACCCGAACCCTTGTCGACCGCATCATATGCTACATCCAAGTGCATTACTCTCCGACCTATGGCACTGTTTTACACTCTCCACGAGATGAAATGAACCTGAAATTAAACTTTTTTCTCATAATTTAAAGAGTTTATTCTCAACATTTTATTTCGACTTTTTTCTCGAAATATAAAGGGTTAGTTCACCCAAAAATGACAATTATGTCATTAATTACCCTCATGTCGTTCCAAACCCGTAAGACCTTTGTTCATCTTCGGAACACAAATTACGTTATTTTTGATGAATTCTGAGAGCTTTCTGCCTCTAGACAGCAAGGATACTACCATGATCAAGGTCCAGAAACGTTGCAAGGACATCGGTAAAGTAGTCCATGTGGCATCAGGGGTTCAACCATAATTTTACGAAGCTACGAGAATAAATCGTAGATTTAATATGAAAAATATATGCCTACCAAATCAAACCAAACCAACCAGCTCTGACATGAAATTTGAAATCACATTTAGCAACATGAAAACTGAAAACATGACAATATGACTTATAGTATATGTGTAGCATTTAGTATTTTATATATACTGTATATATATATATATATATATATATATATATATATATATATGCATACACAGTGGTGGCCAGAATTATTAGAACACTAGTATTTTCACCAGCTAAATATGTCTCCAAAAAACCTACCTGCAAAGCTACAGTACTGTTAAAAGTTTTAGGCACTTGTGTAAAAATGCTGTCAAACATAATGTCATAAATAGATTTTCTTTATCAATTAAAGGGTTAGTTCACCCAAAAAAATGCTGTCATTAATTACTCACCCTCATGTTGTTCCAAACCCGTAAGACCTTCGTTCATCTTCAGAACACAAATTAAGATATTTTTGATGAAATCTGAGAGCTCTCTGACCCTCCATAGACAGCAAGAATTTTACCACGATCAACGCACAGAAATGTAGCAAGGACATTGGTAAAATAGTCTATGTGACATCAGGGGTTCAACCGTAATTTTACGAAGCTACGAGTATACTTTTTGTGCACAAAGAAAACAATAATAACATAAATTTATTCAACAATTGTTCTCCCCGAGTTACCGTCTTCCGCCATTTTGGAGAGTATCCACTGAATGTAAACAACGTAATAAGCATTGTTTAAGTTTAGTGAAAGCGTGCGCATGCTGAACATAAACAACGCTGATTATGTTGTGGGGTTCTCTCCAAAATGGCGGAAGACGGTAACTTACGGGTTTGGAACGACTTTTCGTTTTTGGGTGAACCCTTTAACAACTTTTTTTTATTAATTTAAGGAGGTTATTCTCAACATTTTATTTAGACTTTTTTCTCGAAATTTAATGACTTTAATCTCGAGATGGTTTTATTTCTGTATATTTGCATCCCCATTTTCCTGAAATACACTGGAAAAAATGGTGTAGAAATTGCTAGTGCATTTCACAAGTTATTACAAGGAAACGGCAAGAAACACTTTTGCTGATATTTTGTTTGCAAAAACACATTTTATTTTATATTTCGCTCTCGCTCTGGTCGATGTGTGCGCGGGCGCGCTCTTCTGGGAGAAATGTCCATATAAGGAGTTCCACACTTCATTACGTCATGAAGAGTCACAATCGAAAAAAACTTTCCGAAGCTTGTAAGAAACCCGAAAGTGTGTATTTGGCACATAAATACTCGGTTATACGTCCAAATCGTTTTTTGAAACTTTGGTCAAGTTTAGCATGAGAATCCAATTCTTTAACAGTGTAAACAACTCTGAATGCACGAAACAGCGTTGTACCCCCCCTTTAAATTTTGAGAGAAAAATGGTTACAATTTGAGAAAGATGTCGAAATAAAATGTTGAGAATAAACGTTAAATTACGAGAAAAAAGTTGTTCAATTTTGAGAAAAAAAGTCTAAATAAAATGGTGAGAATAAACTTGTTGAATTACGAGAAAAAAACTTGAATTGAAAAAAGAAAAAAGTAGAATTAAAATGCGAGTCATAAACACACTCGCGTCAGGTTCATTTCATCTCATTGCAGAGTGTCAGACAGCGTCTGCAGGGGTGTAGGCTGGAGAGTAATGCACATGAATGCATAGCATATGATGGTAGCATATGATGCAATCGACCATGGATCCAATGCGTCTTTTTCCAAACTCGCATTTCTTCCTTTTCTCATCACATATCACATCGGAAATCAAGCACAACGCTGTTTCATCTACCTTTAATCATGTTTAAATCACCGCGGAATCTGTGGTTTGTATCGGAGAGCTCTGCTCCTTCTCACAGTGCTGTTTAGTGGTCGCATGATCAAGACCTGCGAGTAAACGCATTTGTTCTGAGCTCGCACGGCACTGTCTTTAGGCAGATGGTCCGTGCAGTACGCTTCACACTACACTCTTAAAAATAAAGGTGCTTCACGATGCCATAGAAGAACCTTTTTGTCTAAATGGTTCCATAAAGAACCTTTAACATCTGAAGAACCTTTCTGTTTCACAAAAGGTTCTTTGTGGCGAAAAAAGGTTCTTGAGATTATAAAAAGGTAAGAAAGAGATGGTTATATATATATATCTCTCTCTCTCTCTCTTTAGCATCAATCTTTTAATATTTCACCAGACTGCTAAAGGTACAAATGCACAGAATTAATGAAAAGCAGCTATTAAGATAGCACTTGACTTAAGCCTTTATATATAAAGCAATATAAAATAATTTGAATGCATTAATTATATATTGTATTAGCATGAGCTTAGTTATAATACATTATAATACTTATATATTCACTATTACATCTTTAGAAAGTGTAATGCATGAAAACACATGGCTAACATCTCATTTCAGATGTAATATGGTCTCTGCAAATGCTTTTAATTAATTTAACAACTATTTATGAAAAGATGTAATGGCTTTCAACATACATTATGGATATCTATATAGGGCATTATGCATAAAGGGGTCACGTTTAAGTGTTACCAAAATTATAAAATGCTAAATAGCATACACTTTACTATTAACAAGCTGTGGCTTGTAGCGGTCAGTAGTAAGTGGTTTGCTGTTTGTGTCAGTTTGTGTTTTGCAGGGACTGTAAGGCAGAGTATCACGAGGGCCCCTGCAGACAGAGGACAAACACAGCAACAGGAAGTGCCCTGCAGGTGAGGACTTCACACTTTTAATATTAGTTCATCACATATGCATGGAGACAGTTCAATTTATGTTGGCTAGATATCATCAGTCATCCCACAAGGTGAATATCTGCTTAAATATTCTCGAGCAGCCCAGAGATTCTAGTCGTAATGGTGTCAGTGCAGGACAATGCCTACAAGCCATTCACAAATCACCTGATTCATAAAAGAATCATATAAGAGTGGAATTTAAAGCTCTTTAAGATCAAACCTGTCTTTCTCACTGTGCTGCTTTTGATCCCTGCTGTGTGTGTGTGTGTGTGTGTGTGTGTGTGTGTGTGTTTCAGGGTTATATTGTAGATGAAGAGGCAGCTCTTCGTGCTCGCTGGGAACAGGCCTCACAGGAGACTATAGCCGAAACCACTCACCCCTGCCCCAAATGCCAAGTTCCTGTGGAAAAAGATGGTATGAATAGTTTTTACCTTTATCTAGTTTGTCAAGGACTATTAATACTATTAGTAACTGATTACATGTAATCTGGATTACATAATCAGATTACGAAAGTGCTTGCAATTAGATTATATTATATTTTTAATAGTCACATTTTTTTATTACATGATTGCATAATATTGACACAATGGCAGTAAATTATTCATAAATACAAAGTTCTGGCATGAAACTCTAGATGGCGCAGTCCGATAGGTCTAACTCAATCTGACCTAATGATATCATTATCACATGGCAGCTGATTGGTTCTCTCCTGTATCGGTAGCCAATGAGCTCGCTGCTCAGCATTCAAATATATGACTAGTGCTTGCTACAGCAGTTGCAGCTTGCTTCAGAAACCCTCCACCTTCCCCAGCTCCACCTGTATAGATGTGCTACAGGGCGATCATGTGCTGTGGGGGTTATTCATGTTATATGTGCAGCAGCAGTATTTTTTACTTGCTCACAGCAGCATGTTGTGTAAGTATTGGCAGTAGCAAGTTTTAGTACTTGTTCTGCAGCAGCAGCGTAGCAGATCTATTCCGCCAAGACCAAATACATTAACATTGTCATGTACATGTTTTCATGACAGAAATACTTTTTTTATTTTTAAAATGATCCTTTCTAAAAAAAAAAAAAAAAGCCTATGTCTTATATGTGTTTGAAAAGGCTTCCTGATTTATGGAATTTAAAAACACATTTGCATGTCCATGGTCAGTTAATGGTCACATGACATGCAGGTAAATATTTAATCTGTTCTATTTTATTTTTTTTATCTTATATTTTTGTGATTTCAAGTGACAGTTCACCCACCCACCCCAAAAAAAAAAAAACTGTCATCATTTACTCTCCCTCATGTTGATCCAAACCTGTATGAGTTTCTTTCTTCTGTTGAAAACAAAAGAAGATATCAACTAAAAAGTTGACGGTAGCCATTGACTTTCATAGTATTTATTTATTTATTTTCCCCCAAACTATGGAAGTCAATGGCTGCTGTCAACTGGCTACCAACATTCTTTTAAATATCTTATTTTGTGTTCAGCAGAAGAAAGAAACTCATACAGGTTTGGATCAACATGAGGATGAGTAAATGATGATAATCTTTGGGTGAACTGTCCCTTTAAATGATTGTTAGCATTTTATCAATGTACAAACCTCCTGCAGTTCCTTCATGAACTTGGGAAACCCTGATAAAATGTCATGTTTAATGCAATTCATGTTGTTGGTAACAAATAATATATTACCTAATCTAACCCCTAATCTAATTCATTATCCACACAAAGTGCAGTATACAGAACTCGCCATGTGAAATACTGTATCCCACAATGCAGTGCGCTTATATTAGTCTTGCATTTCCATTTCAGTGTGACGAATAAACCTGGAAAAATATCAGTGATTTTTAACATTATATTCTGGAATATTTGATTCTTCTAAGAGTTAAATATGAATATATTTGAATTGTCATATAATTCACATTTTAATAATATTTAATATTTTATTATAATTATATATTAAATGTTTACATTTGTATTTAAAATTAACCTATGTGAATATATTTATAATATGTTTTATGTTTAATCATTTACATTTCTGACAATAACAAAACACAATTTGCTTAATTAATCATTAACCCTTTCAGTGTACAGTTCTTTTAAAAAAAAGTGTTTTGGGAACCCCAAAAAGTTTTCAGGGCATCACTGTGAAAACCCCTTTTGCACCTTTTATTTTTAAGAGTGTACTATTTTAAAAATGTTGATATTATACTGTGTGTGTACACTGAATGCTTGTGTATTTACAATTATCTCACAGACTGCTCAGTCATTGATAAGTTATCTTTGTTTTTATCTTTTACCTTGAAAAGTGCACTGTAAAGATCCAGTTTCTTGTCATCTCTTCTGTTGCTCAGGTGGCTGTATGCACATGGTGTGTCCACGTCCGCAGTGTAAGTTTGAATGGTGCTGGCTCTGTCGTGTGGAGTGGAACAGAGAATGCATGGGTAACCACTGGTTCGGATGAGCCAGATATGCTCTCACCAGGAGCTAAACTCTAGCTAATCATTAGCAAGTCGAATCATTAGCACTGTTGTGAGGTACATATCATGAAATGCTGCCGACATTCAAAAGTATCTATGGCAACTACACATATTTTGAGTGTGATGGAATAAAATTCTAGTGCTATTAAAATGTTTTAATGAAATACTTAGTCATGTTTTCCTTTAAGTCATCGAATTCCAAAATATTGATTTGCTAATGGGAGTATTACTGACTGCACTTAATAATCACAATGAAAGTGTTTCAGGTTTTTCTCACCTAGCGGTTTTATTTTATTTTATTTTTGAAAATGTAATTTATTTCTGTGATGTAAAGCTCAATTTTCAGCATGAGGAAAAGAGAAAAAACTATGCATTAAGAGCCGGGGGTGAAAACTATTGAACATAATAAAGATTTATTTTTATTATTTTGCCTAAATATCTTTTTTTTCCATTTAGTACTGCCCTTTAAAAACTACAGAAGGTACTTATATGTTTCCCAGAAGGCAAAATAAGTTAAATTTACCCTAATTTTCAAATTTCAAATTTTTCAAATCAATAAAGTTTTTAACCCCCCATAACCCCACCCCACCACGGCTCTTAATGCATGGTTTTTCCTTCTGGAGCATCAGTGAGTGTTTGAACTTTCTGTAATAAATGCATATGAGTCCCTCAGCTGTCCTCAGTGTGAAAAGATGGATCTCAAAATCATAGTCATTGTTGGAAAGGGTTCAAATACACAAAAATGCTGGAAAACCAAATAATTTGTGGGACCTGAAAATTTTTTCTGAAGAACAGCAGGCAGTTTAACTGTTCAGGACAAACAAGGGACTGATGAACGACTATCACTAAACAAAAAAACACAGCTGTGGATCATTCAGGTAACAGTATTAAGAATCAAGTGTATGTAAACTTTTGAACGGGGTCATTTTTATGAATTCAACTATTATTTTCTCTTGTGGACTATATGTAAACATATTTTATGTGAAATATCTTACTCAGGTCAGTACTAAATAAAATAAAAAATTGCATGCATTTTGTATGATCCCTCTGTCACGAAATGCTCCGAAATGAGAAGTTCCCAATGCAGCATTTATTGAAGAGTCCAAAACACAAACATCCACATAAGGGCAAAACAAAAGCAACAGAAAACACGTAACAGTAAACAATAAACCAGCAACCAAAGACAAAGAAAACCAGGCTTATATGGATTAGTTAACAAGGTAAATTGGACACAGCTGAATGCAATGAGGCTTGATAGTCAAGGCAAAGGGTGATGGGAACTGAAGTCCAGAGAAACAAATCTAAGCGTGCCCTCTAGTGGCTATACATGGGCACACCAACTAGACGCTGTGACATTACCCCTCCTCTAAGGAGCGGATACCAGACGCTACCAAAAAGTCAATGAAATCCCGAAAGGAGGCGGAATGGAGGCGGACCAGGGGGAGGGATGGTGGGCCAGGTCCATGTAGTGAAAGAGGTCTAGAAACAGAGGTAGGCCAGAGGGCCAGGGCAGGGCAGGAGGCCAGGACGGGGCCGGCAAGGCAGGAGGCCAAGGCGGGGCCGGAGAAACAGACCAGTGAGGCTCCGGACGAACAACAACCCTGGCGGGCAACCAGGGCAGGGCCAGGAGCCTGGCAGACAGCAAAGGCGGTGCCGACGACCACCTCAGCGGAGCCGACAAGGCCGATGAACCCCCTAGCAGCTCAGGCAGGACTGCAAAGAAGAGCACAGAAAGGTTAGTAACAGCCTCAATGGCTGCAACATGACAGGCAGACAGTCCAGCAACAGCCTCCCCGACCGAAATAGGGCAGGCAGACAGTTCAACAACAGTCTCCTTGGCCATGACTAGGCAGACAGAGTTCAGGAGTGGACACCACCGCCCAGAGGGGAGCTGAAGCAGACGCCGCCGCCTCGAGAGGCTCCACAGCAGAAACCACCACCTCGGGAGGAACTAGAGCAGACTCAGTAGTGGACTCTTGGACTGGAACAAGCTCAGGAGTGAACTCATAAACTTGAGTAAGCTCTGGGGTGGATTTGTAGACTGAAACGAACTCTGGAATTAATTCGTAGACTTGAGTGGGCACCAGAGTAAACTCCTAGACTAGAGTGGGTTCTGGAGTGAAACCATAGACTTGAGTGGACTCTGAGGACTTTCGGACTGGAGCGGGTTCATGAGTGGACTCTAAATGCTCCCGGGCTGGAATGGGCTCTGAATGCTCCTGGGTTGGAGCGGGCTCTAGAGTTGACTCTGAAGGCTCCTGGTCTGGAGCAGGCTCTGGAGTGGACTCTGAATGCTCCCATGCACACAGAACAGCCCAGAGGCCAAAGGCAAAGACGGCCTTCTTGATTATGGCAGCATCAGTGAAATTGGGCAGTTCGGTGGCAACCTCTGAGACCACCGGAGTCAAGTCAAGTCAAGTCACCTTTATTTATATAGCGCTTTTAACAATACAGATTGTGACAAAGCAACTGAACAGCATTAATTAGGAAAATAGTGTCAATAATGCAAAATGACAATAGTAAACACTCATTTTTCAGTTAAAGACAGTTCATCATTGAATTCAGTGATGTCAACATCCAGCTCAGTTCAGTTTAAATAATATCTTTGCAATCATGTCAACGATATCGCTGGAAATGAAGTCAGGTCCACCGGAGTCAGGTCCTCCAGGACCACTGGACCAGGAACCACCGAAGTCGGATCCTCCAGGACCACCAGACCAGGGACCACCGGAATTGGGTCCTCCAGGACCACTGGACTCGAGGCCACCGGAGTCGGGTCCTCCAGGACCACTGGAGTTGGGTCAGACTCTGGAGCCGGGTTGTAGCGCAGTGAAGATTCACCATCCACTGGGGCGGGCTCGGGCATCTCCGGGAGCACTGCAATGGACTCAGACTGACATGACGTTACTAAGTTGCGGTAACAGAGATAATCAATAAAACTCCAAAAGTCAACAGTCTTAAGCCCCTCCATCTCCCGAGGAGGCAAGGGATTGTCTAGGCAGTCATTAAAAGTCTTTCTGAGCTCGGACTCACTAAGTTCCAGTCCTACCGCCGAAGTCCAGAAGGTCTGAGCAAAACCTCCCACTTTCATCCCCTGTTAGCGAAGATCCGCCAACATCCGGAGCCGAGCCTTCCGCTCCTTCTTCGAAGCAGGAGGAAGAATACAAATGCCCATGGTCCACAATCCGATAAGCCCAGTTTAGCTGCTGGATCTGTTAATGGCTGGTTTATTCTGTCACGGAATGCTCCAAATCGAGAAGATCCAAATGCAGCATTTATTGAAGAGTCCAAACAACAAACAGAATAATCCACATAAGGGCAAAACAAAGCAACAGAAAACACGTAACAGCAATCAATAAACCAGCAACCAAAGACAAAGAAAACCAGGGTTATATGGATGAGTTAACAAGGTAAATGGGACACAATAATGTAATGAGGCTTGATAGTCAAGGCAAAGGGTGATGGGAACTGAAGTCCATAGAAACAAACAAAACTAAGAAGCGTGCCCTCTAGTGGTTATACATGGGCTTACCAACTAGACGCTGTGACCCTCTCTTATTTTGGTAAAATAATTAACATTTTGCAGATTCTGCAAGGTGTATGTAAATTTTTGACTTCAAATGTATATTTCATTCATTCTCTTGGGTGTTTACATACACAGAAATTAAATACCGTTCCTCATCATCATACTGTAGTGCATTAAAGGGGTCATGACATGGATTTTTTTAATTATTTTAATATGTTCCTTGAGATTTACTTATAATGTTAATAAAGTTTTTTGCTCACAAAAAAAAAAAAATGTAGAAAAATTATTATTTTCAACCCAAAACCTCCCACTTTCATCCCCTGTTAGCGAAGATCCGCCAACATCCGGAGCCGAGCCTTCCGCTCCTTCTTCGAAGCAGGAGGAAGAATACAAATGCCCATGGTCCACAATCCGATAAGCCCAGTTTAGCTGCTGGATCTGTTAATGGCTGGTTTATTCTGTCACGGAATGCTCCAAATCGAGAAGATCCAAATGCAGCATTTATTGAAGAGTCCAAACAACAAACAGAATAATCCACATAAGGGCAAAACAAAGCAACAGAAAACACGTAACAGCAATCAATAAACCAGCAACCAAAGACAAAGAAAACCAGGGTTATATGGATGAGTTAACAAGGTAAATGGGACACAATAATGTAATGAGGCTTGATAGTCAAGGCAAAGGGTGATGGGAACTGAAGTCCATAGAAACAAACAAAACTAAGAAGCGTGCCCTCTAGTGGTTATACATGGGCTTACCAACTAGACGCTGTGACCCTCTCTTATTTTGGTAAAATAATTAACATTTTGCAGATTCTGCAAGGTGTATGTAAATTTTTGACTTCAAATGTATATTTCATTCATTCTCTTGGGTGTTTACATACACAGAAATTAAATACCGTTCCTCATCATCATACTGTAGTGCATTAAAGGGGTCATGACATGGATTTTTTAATTATTTTAATATGTTCCTTGAGATTTACTTATAATGTTAATAAAGTTTTTTGCTCACAAAAAAAAAAAAATGTAGAAAAATTATTATTTTCAACCTTCATTTCGGCCCTCTGTCTAAAACGACCATTTTTAAGGGGCGGGACCTTTAAGGCTTCTCAGTAATCAGCCACTGTTATGATTGGCTAACGTCATTGCATAGGAAACCGTATCAATGCCCCCTCACTATTGCATGAGTGTTTTGACAACATAATCAAAATAAAATGGTCATTTCCAGACAAAGCATTATGAAATAATTTACTTACGGTTTGTGATGCAACTGCAGTCAGATCTAGTACCGCTTCATCTTTCAACAAATGTTTCTTTGTGAACTCTCCATGACACCGTGCCTTGTTTACAAAGCAAAATGTTCCGAACAATCCTCTGACGTGACGCCATTAAAAATAAACTGTCCACTTGTTCCTTACGCTGGGATCCTTCTGATATCTGTACAAAGATGCAAACGAGCTGTTTAATCCAAACGCGTCAAAACGAACATTCGTTCACTCCATTTATCCTATTGACAGATAGTGGGCTGTCTCAGAAAGCGAATGCGCATCTGTATACTGTATCCAGTGTAGACAAGATAGCGGCAGTGATTGTAATTTCTATTGGCTTTTGACACAATGTGACACTCGC